TCACGCCTGCGCTGCTTGTCCGGGGTGCGCAGCCCCGCCCCGCGCCGCCCATCCCGCCGGCTCGTTAGCGCCTGCCGGACGCACGCTCCACACGCCTGTCTCATTAGCGGGGTGCCGGGTCAGCCCGCCGTGCCGCCTCGGTGACCACACAGTCCGTGGTCACGGCCCACCGCGCACCGACTCTCCAGTCAGCAGCCGCAGTGTTTTCGGCTCGGTTAGAGCACTGTCTGCAGAGGCAGAGTCACGTAACGTCTTTTTGATGAAGGCTAGGCGAGAGTTTAGCGAGTGTTCATGACGACTGGATTGTGAAACAGCTGTTGGCACTCATGGAAGGTCACCCCACGTTTTCTTTCGTTGAGCTCCGTCGCAGGCGCCCGTCCACCAGCGCTCATCTGGGGATTTTTCAGCTACAAAGCTTGATTTACTTGGACTGATCCCCAGCAGATCCGCACTGCCCACGACCCGACGTCAACTCTCCTTTCTCGGAAGTCGTCGATTGATGTGTCCGCGACGTGCTGAGGTCACTAACGTGGGCACTGCGAACGTGCGCTCGTTCAGTCCGCGAGTTTTTACCACCTTCATTGGTGACGTGTCCCTCCCCCTGCGAGGTGGCTTTGTGAGAGAAAAACTGTGCGGTCGGTGCTCAGGGATTACGGGCGCGGCCAGAGGCGCCGGCCGGGCCCACGGATAGTCCGCCACTCGGGCGTTGCAGTTCTGCAACCGGCTCCGGACGCCTCAGTGCCGTCATTTTTACTTTCGGTCGCGGGTGAGGTCATGGCAGCGCTTAACTTGGCACAGCCTGCCACTGCCCACGCGGGGTAAAGTTGAGCAAAGTTGCAGAACAGAGACGGCGCGTTAGCAAACGGCTCATCAACAAATCAAGCGACCGGCCGTCGTCTATCGAAACGCAGCCTTGTAATATCCATCTTCTGTGTGTTTAATGGATGTGAAAGTTATGATGCATTGTTACACAATGATTAACGTTGCCTTCTCAACAGCTGATGCGGTCAATCGGCCGTTATACGACTCGGGCCTCATTGAATCTTCAATCCATATTCCATACCATGGGCCGACTTCTTTACAACTCTACCCTCGTGAGTAAAAAGGGCTAAAAATAACATTAAATTGTTTCTAAAGATTGATATTTTAAACTTAAAGGCACTTTCTGCATGCTGTTGAAAACGTCAGCTATTATTCTCTTTTGCACAATCTCTCCTGCGGCCTGCCGTCCCATTCCCTCATCCCCGGTCGGCCCGACCTCGCTGCAGACTGCACGAGTTTCCATGTCGTATCCCCTGGCCTTCGGGCCTGACACCGCCCCCGGGCGGCTGCACATGCCGCCGGCGTGCCCGAGTTTCCTCGTTCGTCGCCGACCGGGCCCACGGAGACCGGTATCAGGGGTGGAGTGGTCGCCAACCGCGACAGCCCGAGGGGCTCCCACTGCCGGGAGGCGGCGGCCAGCACTGCCCACGACTCATGAGAGCCATGCAGGCTGACCTGAGCTATCCAACTGTGACCGGTGTCTTGGCGAGTGGACCCGCGCCGCTGCGTGCGGGGCCGGGCCGGGACACGCGTGCGGTCACTGACTGCCAGAGCGGCCGCCGGGAATTCGAGGAATGCGGGTGACGAGCCGGAGGGACCGCGTTGCACGGGAACGTTCCCGTCAATTGTGCACGGACCGCAGCGGCCAGCTGTGGGTATGACGACGGTCACAAGCAGTGGCGTTGGTGGTGGCGGTGGCGGCGCCATGAGGACTAAGGACTTAGGAGGTACCCGGAGGGTGGACGGCCAGGGCTGAGGGCTGGTGTTATCTATTTCGGGCAATGACACTGATATTCTCTTTGTCCTAAGTTTGTCGCGGTGACTGCCGACTGTCCAGGCGTCCGTTGGCTTGCGACTCGATCAGCATTACGATTCACAGCGTTGCACACAACGTCTTATTTTACATGCTAATTGATGAGTTTATCAATTTATGTATCAACCAATTATCATGGAAATTAGTCAATTTTATTGAACGGTAGCAGAAAAATTGACAGGTAAGTTTCGCAATGCATGCATGAGCCGCTAAGAGTTAATTATCTTTGATCATAGTGTCACATCCATCAAGGGATATTTGGTTTGGGCCTTGGGGATAATACGTTTTCCTGCCATGCTTATTCCATCCCCTATATAGCCATGTTTTCCACGTAACCTAGAGCTTAGGAGAAATTTCCGGCTCTGGCGTTTTAGTTCGGAGAGCCTGATCTGCTGGGGGTGTTGAACTTCTTAGGGGAGCGCTTATTTCGACTACGGCTTACGGCTGGTGATCATGCCTAGTTATAGGTACAAAAACTAGACGAGGTATCTTAAAACATTTCCTCTTTAATTACGTAAACCGACGCGTGTAATCGAACGCGCCAGATGTCAAATCCACTTGCTGGGCCCGGAACGATTGGATAAGATCCGATGGATGGCAAATCCAAAAGCAGCAAAAGGCATTCATTATCTTTTGAGTCGAGGCAGCGTGCAAATGTTTGCGAATGTAAAAAGTTATTTTAGAAAACAGTGACAAAAGCTGATGTGGTCGTTGCATGGGCCTGTATCGACACCAGTCACCAACCATGTCATTGCACCAGGCACGGACCAACCACTGAATTTATACTGCGAGGCATCTACCACCTCCTGATTAGCAATTAAATTCGCGCTACATTATTATTATTATTATTATTATTATGATTATGATTATGATTATTATTGAACATAATTGGCACTCGTCCACATACATGTGGACATACATGTGTCCACATACATTCTGCATACATACATCCTACTAGGCCAGTCAGTACCACCCCCGAAAAGATCTGACGTGGCTATGTACGTATTTACACGTATTGCTGGCTCGTCCTCTGACGTTTAAGATGGACGTGAGATAGTCCCGAGCTGGCCAACGCTCATTCCAAAGACGTCAACAGATGTCCCGACAACTATAACAAGGCCATTGTGGAATAATCAGAGTTGCTGTTGACAGGCACAAAACTAGTTTGTTGCCGATGTGTGGAGCGGGTACGTTGTCCTGAGTTTTTTTTTTATCCATTGGTTGACTTGACGTGCCTACAGCAATCAATGCAGTGAGTCAATAGTGCAAATTTAGTAGGCCCACTTCACCGTATCCTGTGAAAATATTACGTAATGGACCAAACCAGTTGTAACCTTATCACTTTTAGAGCTATCTGCGCGAGTTTTCTTCTTGTCGTTTTAAATCTCCGGTATTGTTCGACTTTTGGCACCGTGGCGTGACGCCCTTGGCGACAAAGAGATCCCAGTCCCACGGCGCACAATGCCATGTTATCATCGTGAACCAAGGACTCACGAGATCTCACGAGTCTCACGAGATCTCCCTCATAAGTCCACTCTGCGGCACTCCATGTGCGATACCACTAAGGTTTGTTACCCAACCATGAAGAGCAGCGATACCCGCCGTTCCCCCACCCCTACGTACTGCCCGGATGTGCGCTGGACACAAAGGACAGACGTTATCCGCGGCCCCCGAACAGAATCCGCTCTGCAGCCGACTCCGTCCCGAGTCACGATCGCTTGACTCACGACCCTCCCCCCGGCCCGCCCCCGCCGCGTGCGACCGGCCCAGTCACGGCCAACCCCCAGCTGTGATCCCTCCCTCATGAATGGGGTAGCCGGAGCCGAGGTCACGGCCCCGCACCCCGCTGACCCCTTCAAGGTCATCGCCAATGGGGTGTTCCAGCCCAGACGCCCCCAGAAACTCACGAACTCAGCGGCTGGCGAGCTGGCTGCTCATGAGTTCCAACTCATGGGAAAAGATTAATCAAATCATGTCCGAATGATCGTGTCCTCGTCGCGGAAGATACATGGTTTTTCTGGGCTTTGTAATTCACTTATCACAGCAGGCATCAGGATTCAGGAAGTAACCGTGACAAACCAACAAACACGGACGCGATGAGTCAGATCTCTCACGGCGAAGCACGCCAAACTGAACAAGACAAGACAACACTGTTGCCACAAGCTTGACTGATGCTACCACAGCATCTAGCAGTTCACGCTCACGGCAGCGGCGTCGGGTGCATAATCGCTGGCCATCAGCCGGTGCTGGCCAGGCCGTAAAAGAGCGGCGGCGCGGTACGTCGCGGGGGCGTGCAGACCAGGCCCGGCCCGGCGCCGGCCAAGGACAGCTCTCCTCGAGGCGGTGTGGATGGATACCGGACGCGACATCACGGGACGGGACGGGACGGGGCGGGACAAGACAGAGACGGAAACGGAGACGAGTCGAGATAAAGGGGTACGAAACGGAACTTAACTTCATGTGCGCAACCGTAAAAGCACAATGGCCGAACTCGATGAGATGTTTTCTTGTACAACTAGCAAGGACTGAAATATTGGATCCTGGATCAAGGAGTCAGTTGTTAAGACTTTGGAATCCCTATACCTATATCGAATTAAGAACGCTGGTGAACTGGCACGAGAGACTACCTAAAACCGAGCCTCCCCGTTGCGGGGTAATCCGCCCGGAGCCCGCTGACGGTGTTCGGACGCCCGGTGGCCGAGGGGCGCTGGGGCCGCGGCAGCACCCGTGCGTGCCGATAGGCCCTGTCGGACGGTCCCACGGGCCGCGGCGCCATGAGAAGCGCCGCTGCACCTGGCCCGCTGCCACAGACATCCTGCAGCTTTTTGTTGTCTGGACCAGCCTCTGCAAGGAGCGAACTGGAACACAGCGGATTAGCCGCCAGGACTCTGAGAGAAAGTTCTTGTCACAGCCCTTCAAATTTGCGAAACTGTTCCTCAAGGACAGAAGGAATGACATTGTCATGGACATGTCGGAAAGGTGACAATGCACTCAAATACAGACCGTTTTAGGTACTTAGTGACTGACGGATCTAGCGACTTACAAGCTAGCTGTCAAACGACACGCAGATTTGGGACCATGGGTTGTGAACGCGGCTGCAGTATTGTTGCCCCGCCATTCTGACATTTGTCTCCTCCGTTTGCAGATGGACCGCGACCGTTCGTTCAAGGCAGCGTGGGACGTGTTCGGGGCTACTGCGCCGACCGGCCGCGCCGCGGCGCCACCGGCGCGACACCAGGCAGCTGGCGCGGCGCGCTTCAAGCCGCCGAAAGACGCCGAGAAGCACGCGTCCAGCGATAGCGCCATCTCTGGTTCCAGCGACGAGGAGGAGCGCGAGATCTGCCGCATCTTCGACTACCTGAACGAGGAGGATAAGAGCCGCGGCAAGAGCCGGCGCGGCTCGGCCGCCGGCGCGCGGCAGAAGGACAAGGCGGCCGGCGGCGAGATCCAGCACATCGAGCGGCACCTCTCCATGAAGAAGACGCTGCGCAAGAAGATGATGCGCGATCTGAAGCAGGCGTTCGTCGACGACCCCAACGAGTTCCGCCAGGACCCGACGTCGATCCCAGACGAGCAGCGCAACCTCATCAACATCCAGAACATGCACATCTCGCCGGACAAAGCCAGCGGCGAGAACAACTTCTTGGGCATGCTGAAGGACGAGCCCGACTCAGGCCACGGGTCGCCCACGCGCGACCACGAGCGCCAGCAGCGACCCAAGGAGAAACTCAGCCTCTGGAAGCGGCTCACGGGCGGCGGCAAAAAGGCAAAGCGCTGAGCGAGACTCCGCCACGAGACGGCGACATTGAGCATGTAAATATGTATATCTCGTATAGGAGGCGCGCGAGTGCCTGATGGACCGAGAGTGCCATGGAACGTGATAGTCGCTGTGATAGTGGGAGTGCGGCACGTCGAATGACACTATACCGGGGACTCCTACACACGGAATCAGCGCACAGACCCTCGGAAAGAGATTCTTCCACCGAACCGTGCAGGGCTGACTACGAAGACTGACCCAAAGTGGCAATCCTGTAAGACCACATAGACTGGCCCAAACTCCAAAGTGACAATTCTGTAAGCGAGCTCATCGGCTTGCACACGACAGAAAGACTACGAGAAACATTAAACATGTCACCAGAAGAGGCAATAGCCAATATCCATCAACTATCGCAGGCACTTCGGGGCCCCCATATTGGAGCTAGGCCATCAGTGAGATCAAGAAGGACCTCTGCAATGAGTGGTCTGGACATGGATCCCAGCGAGTGTACCAACATGAGGCTGGGCTGCCAGAACCCCTTGACGATCCCGTACAGACCGCTGCGGTGACCCCGAGTGTGATTATGTCACTGAGAAGTAAGGTAGTCGCTGGCAATATCTGTATCACTGAAATGTCAAAGTTGTTGGTCTCAATGGCAGACATACTCCCTTGGCGACAACAGCAAACTCGTATTTGATTCGCTGGGCATCTGACCAGTTGACTGACATGCCGTCCATCCGCAGTTGGCCGTCCGTTTGAATCCGTCCTAACTATTGCTGTAGCGTGCCAGGCGCCTTACAGCTGTTTGGCACCACGCATCCAATAGATGCTGCAACTCTACCTGTTGTACAGATAACATTATCATGGGCTATTTGTATCTGACGTAAAGGACTCCTATGTACTGTTAATTGTGTATCGTTTGTGCTCGTTCCTAGCGGTTCCGCGAGGTTGTCTAAGCGGATAGGGTTTGTGCAGGATGTAAAAATAAACTGTAACGAGTACGAATGTATGCTAGGCGTCAGCGTGGAACAATAAGACATGACATTTTGTACACCTATCGTACCCCTGGGTCTAATACAGTGAGACTATTTGTAGAACTATGATCTCTAGCAGCGTCCTAACGAACGACATTCGATTTTCTCACTACATCGCTTTACTAGACTTCGTAGTTGACAAAAGAATGAACGGTACTACAGAAACGCGCCAGCACAATGTTAACAGTCCTTCATCACCCGTGCCCCAGCCCCCCCCCCCCCCCACAGAGTACCCGCCGAGCACGCAAACCAGCAGCGTCATGCACCTCAAGGTCGGTGACCTCTGGAGAGCCGTGGGTTGGTCAACAGAGCACATCACCAATCAGCGGCGATTCACGGGCGAACGCGCAGACGAGTGGCGAGCGAACAGCGGCCAGCCGGCGCCGATCGAAGTGGGAGAGTTGCTGGTGAGCGAACGGCCGCGATGGAGACGGGGAGTGGCGGAACGGCGACCGGTCCCGAGGGATAGGGGGGTAGGCGATACGAGGTGAAGAGCGAGTCTGGTCCATGCATTATTTCCATCTGGTTTATGATCTGATGCAGCAAAATCGCTGGTGCTGCAAAGGTCACTGTAGCCATATCTGCCTCGAGCGTGATTATAGCCGTCATACTCAACGATGAAGCCGAGTCGCCGTTGACAGCATCATGGAGACCTCTCACGGACAAAGAGAACTAACCATGCGGAACAAAGTGTGAGGCGTATCATTGGGACGTTGGTATACGTCCTTTGAAATCCTGCCCACTAATGAATCATCCCTGGGGCTTCAGACAATGGCGAATCCAATGGTTAATCCATACAATCATCGCTCTCATCTCACTCAATGAAAATCCACCTTCTGCTACCATCTGCCTCTTCTCAAAGTTTTCCCTTTCACTCCCCTTCCTACAGCTCTGCCATCAACACCGATTCCCCCTCAGTCATCCTATTCACGCCTCTATCAAGTACTTCTAATGACTCAGCAGTCGGGAGACACTTCACCTCCAAAGGAAGCCTTCAGTTGCATTATTTATTGCCACACGTTCACAATTCACATGGAGCAATGCTACTGAAAGTCACTCAGTTTCAGCATAGTCACAGTCCGCTACAAGTCTCAAAAGGCAATGACAAAATTTATCATGTACACGACCTCTTACTAAGGAGTACCGCGTACAACACACTGGTACAGTTCATATGGACTCACTTTACCACAAACCTCAGACAGCAACGGCACCACATCACATATATTACGGCGGGCATCTCTCCGGACCTGTCTCCTGGCCGCAAACAAACAATCCGACTCTGCGGACCGTAAGCACAGTATGTGCTCGAAACAATAACAATGCGACATTACAAATGTATCCCACCGTGGGACGACCTAAGTGGCCTGAAATTTCAGGTTACCCACAGCTCACCAGAGATAGTCTCGGGGTCACCGATAGGGGTCAGCGAGATCCACCTGTCCAAAGTATCGGCCCACCAGACAGATGAGCAGGCAGGCGGCGGCCAGTCTGGTATCATCCTTCGCCTGGGCACAGAGGAAGTTGTCAATGGATTAGCCTGGTTGTAATAAAAGAGGGCTGCTGAGGGAACAATATTCGTCAGCCGCTCTTGGAACCCTATGGGCCCAATTTGCAGCATACCATTCACTCAATAATTAGGTTCGCTTACTTACCTAAAAAATACAAAGAAACTTATTTCAGCCCCGCCCTCTTAATCGTTGTCTGACCAGCCCATAGTAAATCACATACATGTATGATAATGATTATTATTCGACTACACATACTTAAAGTAGAAATACTAAAAGCGTAACAAAGCGTATGATAATGATTATTATTCGACTACACATACTTAAAGTAGAAACACTAAAAGCGTAACAAAGCAGCTCAATATCAATCACCAAGGGACTTACCACACGGACGACTAACCCAAGTACCCGAGACACTACTGCCTCCCTGCCCCATTGGACCTCTCCACCAGCGGCGCCCTCCCTGCTCCGCTCAGCCTCACCACTAGAAGCGGCGCCCTTCCTGCTCCGCTCCACATCCCCACCAGAACCGTCTCCTCCCTGTCCCGCTGGACCCCCCCCCCCCCCCCACCACCACCACCACCAGCGTTGGACGCACCAGTGACGCCCTCTGTGACCGGCAGAGTCGTGCCACCTCCCGCAGACAGGAGCAGGTGTCGGCCGGCAGCGGCTTCTCCAGAGCGGCCATGACGGCGAACAGCCAGGCGGCGCGGCCGTCGCCCAGTCCCTGGAGGCGGCTCCAGTGTAGCAGGTGCTCCAGCAGCGCCAGCAGCTGACTCTGGGGGACAGAGAACGGGGTGGTGACGGCCGGGGGTACTGAGGCGACACGGTGGGAGTGGAGCTCTGAGGTGAAGTGGGGTGAGCTGAATTGTATAACTAACTACAATGCTCTATGTTCCGAGATAGACAATGCAACGATATAATATGAACCAGTAAAACGCCTTTTGGGCGAAGAACGAGCGAGCGAGATAGTGAGCCCTGCACGTGCGGAAGGGCGAGAGGGTACTTCCAACGGGCTTGTGCAAAGCACCCTTCTAACCGGTCGCTAGCGGTGTGCCAAATTTGAACGCAATCGGCCCAGCCGTTCCTGAGATCTGGGAGCGGCATTCTGCACGTGCGCACGTGCAAAGGGGTCCAAAATAACTTTTGCACGGCACCCTATTAACCGGTCCCCAACCGTGTACCAAATTTGAGCTCAATCGGCCCAGCCGTTCTCGAGATCTGGAAACGCCCCCTGCACGTGCGCACGTGCAGTAGCACCCTAACCGCAACACATGGGAATGCATTGCCTGGTGGGTGCCTACCTGTATGCCAAGTTTCAGCAAAATCGCCCCAGTAAAACTGCTTGAACACCCTTGACTTTTCACGTGGCACGTGCCACGACGGTCACTGAGATGTATCAAAAGTAGTCAATTACGGGGTAGAAGGGATGGGGCTACCCAGCAAAAAAGACCGCAGGGCAATCGGTCCAGCGGTTGCTGAGATATAAGCCTCTCAAAAGCGTTACAGGCCGGGCCGGGCCGGGCCGCTCATATTGAGATTTTTCCGTTATATTGAAAAGACTTCGCTTCGCTCGCTGCGCTCGCTCGCTCGTAATAACGGCTTCAATCAGGCCGGCAATGACTGATGATTACACCTTGTCCATCCAGTGCCTGAAGTGCTGACGCAAGTTGCATCTTACAAGTGTTGCACTGATATGCTCACTGCACTGCACCACACGACATAAAGCCAGATAACGGACGTTCCTACCTTTTGGGCGGCTGCTACAGCGCCTTGAAAATATCGAGCGCCCATTCTTGATATGTAACGCACTCAAATATCAACAACACCAAACTGACTAGGATATCAAGTGCACATCTTTGACAGGCAAGGAGCAGAGACATTAATAATAAATTTGTCATTGGGCCATTACCTGCAGGCAGGCCGCTATGGTGAGGAGGGAGGGCGGCGCCAGGCCAGTGTCGACCGTGCCGCCATCTGCGTCCTGGCGGCATACCGCCAGCCAGGCATCGCGGTCTTCGGCGGGCGGCTGTGAAAGAGAGACGGAGTTATTGACAGTCCGGCAGCTATATGAAAGACACAGCCAGACGCCAGGCAGGTATCACGGTCTTCGGCGGGCGGCTGTGAGAGACAAAAAGAAGGTGTTACGGACAGTTTGTTTGTTTATTGGGGCTTAAGGGCGCGCCGACTACAAGGTCATTTTGCGCCCAGTTACGGACAGTCTGTCAGCAGTATATGAAAGACACAGCCAGACGCCAGGCAGGTATCTCTGTTCTCTGCGGGCGGCTGTGAGAGACAGAAAGACGAAGTTATAGACAGTCTGTCAGCTATGTGTATGTAGACCCACAGCCAGAAGTCGCGGTCCTCCAGGGCCCAATCTCACCAAGTGCGGTAAACTCAATTTTGGGGTAGTTTTTTTTTTTGTACATAGTTACGTAGTGGGGTAGTTTGGTAGTTTATCCCAAATTGAGTTTACCGCACCTGTTGAAATTGGGCCCTGACGGCTGTGAACAGACCCGCAGTCAGACTGACAGCTCTAGACTAGACTCAGACGGAGCTATAGATACGCGGCCAGCCAGCCGTCGCGTTCCGGTAGAAGGCCCAGCGCAATCAGACTAGCAGTTCTGGACGAACGGACTGGCCCGACAGTCGCCCCGACAGCCTAGAGACACACGGGCAGTTAACTGACACAAGGGCAGCTCTGAGCAGACAGCCAGGCTGACAGACCCGACAGTTCTAAACAACAGCGTGAGGACTCGACGCATACAACTGGCACAGTCAATCTACTGCACATGGCTGTCTAGAGGACAACGGTAGGCAGAAAGCACCGCAACACGAGTATGCAGCACAGTGGATAGAAAAAGCAAATCAAGGAAACTAAAGATTGTCCAGCAGATGACCAATAATTCAGACAGGCAGACATGCAAGGGTAAATACAGAGTAGGGCATATATGGTCAAAATTAGCAATCATCATACACCAGAGTGGTACCACCCTCGCTAAGTTCCAAAATGACGACCAATGTCTGTCACCTCCATCCACAATACTACATCCGCTACGCCGAATTGTTCTCTGACAGCGGTGCGTTGTTTGATTGTACGGGCTTTAGGGCGGGCCGACAGATGGGTCATTTTGTGCCCTTGATCGCTGCATTACAATTCCACCTCAGCACAATTGCTGAGCAGTTACCGACTGCCTTGGCCCCCGCTCACCAGTTGACCTGCCCGCCGGCGCAGCTGCGGCGCGTGGCGCGCCTTCCAGCGCGCCACCCGACACCGCAGTCCGGAGAAGTCCGACTCAACTGTCTGCTGCCACTGCCGGGAGAGACTCGGACCGGACGCCGCCGCCGCCGGCTCCTGTCGGTCACAACGGGCGCGAGTCAGTCAATGGGGAGCGAGCGCGTGACCGCTAGATATTTCAAAACTTCTACATCACTTCTCAATGCCACCTTGTGATAGCTCTAGTTCTGACATGAGGACGTTTGAGGACTTGACCAATAAACAACGAGGACTATTGCAGGTGAGCTTCTACAAGTACCAGCCTCGAAACGTCGTTTGTCTGTTTATTGGGGCTTAAGGGCGCGCCGACTACAAGGTCATTTTGCGCCCATAACTTTATACAAGTAAAACAAGTGTGTCACAACGTCGTGTCGTGAAGCTTAAACACACAATTTTACACGCACCTGCGGTGTGGGGGACGGCTGCGCCTTTGGTTTGGTCGCCTTTATACGCAGCCCAGCCATACTAGCCGTTATTACGTCACTCTGCTTGGCCTGCTCCCTCCTGGGAACAGTGACGTCGTGGAATCGTGTTCATTGACACATTGGCATGACACTGGTTAGTGCTTATGCGGGACATTGAATGCATTTTTCATAGAATAAGTTTGCAGGGCAACATTTTGTACAGATACAAAACTGCAATGCAATTTGAGTCACATGTGTCAATATATTTCAAGTAAAAAAGTAATAAAAAGAAAAGTTCATGCAACTAAAAATGCCACCCTACCAACACTGACATCAAGTGTGCCGGACCCACCGTTCAGCTACCGCTCTGCGTTGGGCCGCCGTCTCTCACCTGACGTAGCGCAGGTACTGGAGCGCCGAGCCCGGCAGGCCGCCGCCGTCCTCCGGCTCGGAGCCGCTGGGTACCTCCAGGGCGCGCGGCAGCAGACTCTCCTCGCCGTCGCCCTCGTCGTCGGACGGCCGCAGACGGAGCGCGCTCATACCTGCCACCGACACGGGCAAGGGTCACGTGCGGTCGCAGCCAGCCCGGCGTCACCGGCCGGGCTGATGGCGGGGTGCTGCCCGCGCCTCACACCAGTGCAAGTTTGACACACAACACCACATAGCTCGGAGATCGGCTAGAATGGCGTTTCGCACCTCACCGATAGCCAGTATCTGTGTTGCCAAACAACTGTGCAAAGTTCCAAGAAGTAGATGTTGGGGTCCGAGCATTCGCGACTAGTGGCAACGTGCTGTCGCGCTTACGACGCGGGAACTCCCGTAGGAAGATTGACGTGGTTGAGACATCACGGTGCACGCTTGGCCAAGATGTCGAGCGGCACCGTATCATGGAGAAATTAACGTCCCAGCCTGAACAAACACTCAGCTGGAGTACGTGTATCCCGATAACCAGGTCAAGCGGCCCAACAAGCCACGAAGATCGTGAAAACATTACAGGTGGCACATTGCATGAGAACATTTGGTGACCGGTCGCATGATTGGCAGCTCGGTCCGCTCGGTCACTGCCAGCTATACCAAGATGATTGGGGACCCAGCAAAATATTACACAAGCACCTTCACGGATGATGGAACCGAGGCGGAGAAGAATCTCCAATGCGGGAGTCGGGAGCATAGCACTGTGTCAGGGACTAAAAACCATTCAATGAGTGGGCTCTGCGGTGCTCTAGCTCCCTGGCTTCCAGAAAACGACCGCGCGGCGACTCATCCCTTACCGAACCACCGCGAGCTGGAACGAACTCCCGCGTGCGACAACAGAATCTACTTCGCGACGCCAACTGATAAACAGGCTTGCGGGGTGACGATATACCTAAATGCCAGGCTGCGCATATGATTGCATGCGTGTTCTTCTTCATTTCTGTATATTCTGCAGAATTTGTGCCCCCACCTCTTTCACCAGTTGCTCGTAGTGACTAGTGTTCTTGAGCGAAAACGGCTGCACGCAGCTCTATTTGTTCTCATGACGAAGCGAAACAGGGTAAGACTGAGGCCCAAATAAAACGCTAGCAGGAGTTGGAATGGTCAGTGACTCGGTGTACGGGGATCGCGCTATGGTTGTGAACAGACCTTCCAGGCACACCTGTATCCACCTATGCCGGAAATAGCCTGGCTCCGCCTATGCCTGGGTGGGCATAACGCAGCAAAGTCGGATTGGGCACCTATTGGGCTTACACTGGGCTTGCCCGAGGATCCCAGGGTGGGACCACAGCTTAACTATGTTGTTAGCGACTTGACTCAACTCGGGCTGCACCTGGGCAAGCCCCAGCAGCCTGACGCCAGCGAACGTGGGCAAGCCCATCAGTGCAGAGTAAGTCGGGCAATGCCCATGTTAGCCCGGTCTGGTCGCTGGAACTTGGGTTCGGGTTGGGTTTGCCCGATTGGGACCATATCCGTTCCATCGTCGTTTTTGGTCGGCGTATAAAGTGTGTCATACGCCGGGCAGAACCCGGGTTTGAGCTTGGGCGAGCCCAACCAAATATCGTGGGCATGCCCAAGGTTTGCCCGGTCGGGCCGCACTCAGAATTATTGGCTGGGTAGTTATTTATCAAAGGGGACGTACGGGCACGACAAAGGCGGACAGATTCATGGTGTATTTGAGTAAATGTGTGGGATATTAGTACATATATGTGTGTGTGTGTACGCCTGATGCAATAAGATGTGTGTAGGTACGCCAGAAATTGGATATATGTATGTAGCAATAGGCACCCAACTACTAGTGTGCCGGCAACGGCAACAGTGCAGGAGCATTACCAGTGGACAATGTCTATGTAGTGTGTGTGTAATGAGTATGCATGGGAATATGTAATGTGTATGTATGTATGTATGTATGTATGTATGTATGTGTGTGTATATATAGGTGGACGGTATTGGAAAGATGTTTATACGTGTCTGAGTGTGCTGGCAGAGCGGCGGTGACTCGCGGCACAGGGGCGCCCAACAGTCAGGTCTGGCGCCTGCCACAGCGTGCGACGGTACCAGACGTTGGAGGACGCACCATTGAGATCGTGCCTTCGCGGTCTGATGATCGGCTAGCCGTGGAACCCCTGCGGTGTGGCGGTAGCGGCGCGGCGCCCAACGAAATTCGGTGGTGACACACTCGGTGGCTGGCGGATCCTCTTGTTTGTTTATTCTTCAATCGGCGCGCCATCTGAGCTGGTAGGCGCCAGAACCGGTGGGCAACGCCATCCTGGGGCCCGCTTCGATCGCGGCGAGCGCTCAGCTGCTGCGAAGTGCCGGCGCTGGCGCTGTTATATCAACCGGCGCGCGGCCTGCACCGGTGGGCGGCGCGGCTGGCATCACGGCGGAAGCAGCACAGGCAAGGCAATCGCGGAGGCGAGGCAGGGATCAGCAAAGCCAAGCTACGATCCGGGAGGCACGACGGTCATGTCAACGGCAAGAACCGCTCCAAATGCCCAGCGGTGAAGCAGAGGTTCCAATTCAACCAAGCCTCAGCAGCCGCGCTGGAGCTGCAACAGCAAAGCCCAAGGAACCACCGTGACAGCTGCCAAACCGGGCGCGACTGGCGTCACGGCGGAAGCAGCACAGACAAGGCGATCACGGAGGCGAGGCAGGGATCAGCAAAGCCAGGCAACGATCCGGAAGGCACGACGGCCACGTCAACGGCAAGACCCGCTCCAAATGCACAGCGGCGAAGCAGAGGTTCCAATTCAACCGAGTCACAGCAGCCGCGCTGGAGCTACAACAGCACAGCCCAAGGAACCGCCGTGACAGCTGCAAACCGAAGGACAAGCCGCCCCGAACCTCTACCTGCCTTACCCCGGGTTCATCCCGCAGACGCGGAGGCATGTGCAGCGCCGCGGAGGCCCACACGAAGCCGCGGAGGCCCACACGAAGCCGCGGAGGCAAGTGCGAAGCCGCGGAGGCAAGTGCGAAGCCGCGGAGGCACGTGTGCAGCCCCAGAGACTGCAACGCCGCGGAGGCACACACGAAGCTGCGGAGGCATGTGCAGCGCCGCGGAGGCCCACACGAGGCCGCGGAGGCGTGTGCAACGCCGTGGGGGCAAGTTCGGGCGCACGCAAAGCCGCGGAGGCATGTGCAACGCCGCGGAGGCACACACGAAGCCCGAAGCCGCGGAGGCGCACGCAAAGCCGCGGAGGCACGTGTGCAGCCCCAGAGACGCACGCTAAGCCGCGGAGGCATGTGCAACGCCGCGGAGGCACACACGACGCTGCGGAGGCGAGTGCGAAGCCGCGGAGGCGCACGCAAAGCCGCGGAGGCATGTGCAACGACGCGGAGGCATGTACAGCGCCGCGGAGGCACACACGAAACCGCGGAGGCATGTGCGTAGCCGTGGAGGCGAACGCACAGTCGCGGAGGCACGTGTGCAGCCGCAGAGACGCACACTAAGCCACGGAGGCGTACAAACAGACGCAGAGGCACGCACCGCGCGAAGGCGCGCCATATCGCCGCCAAAGAAGAGAAGAGAAGAGAAGAGAAGATAAGAGAAGAGAAGAGAGGGAAAGAGTAGAAAAGTAGCAGTCACCGCGGACACGCTCACGTATGCCGCGGAAGCGCGAGCGGCACAGCGGAGGAGCGCAACGCCGCGAAGGCGCGCACAGCCGCGGAAATGTGCGAGACAAATGGACTTAATGCCCCTCTCCCGGAAAGTAAGGGAATTTTCCCCCTGCCGGAGAGGGGGGTAATATGTAGGGGAGCGGGAGAGCGGCCGTACTAGTTTAGGGGTTATGGTTGAGTTAGTGTCCGCTTTTAGTTTACCTTAGTTCTTGGTTTTGTTAAAATTGTACGCGTGGGGTATTTAGGCAGGGGTCTGAACGGAGGCAAGCGTGGCGGGAACCGCACGGGCACATCGGCCGCCATCTTTGGCCTCGAGGCGGCTGATGTGGGCGTGGCCTACTCGGGCGAGGGACGAGACGAAAGCAGGGGAGAGGAGATCGGGGCTCTTGGTGTCTGGCTGCCGTCCGGTACGGACATCGAGCCCCCGACTGATCTCTGCTGCTGGATCACCTGGCTCGAGGAAGGTTCCTGTCACGCAGGGATTGATGCAGGGCTCAAAGCACATCCCTTAGTTAGGGTAGGAGCACCGGGGTGGAGGTTCGTAGGTAGATTCGTGCGTCGGTAACCGTTAGGGTAGTGATAGGGTGTAGAAACTTGCGATAATGGAAATAAGCGGTCGTCTCGGATCCAATTCAATGCGCAGTCCTTTACGATGTTCGGTTTTACAATAAATGGGATTTGAATTGACCAGATGCATTTGGAGACGGGTTGAGTCGGAGGAGAACGGAGGTTGAGCGGAGTCTGTTTCATTCGGTACTGTAGTTTAGTCATCACGGCTCAGGAGCTTAGCTCCAAACCCACGAGGGCACGCTTCCAATCGCGTGTGCCCCAAAATAGCGGAGTTATTCACCTGAACTAAGATGCTTAGTTTAGTCAATTAGTGTAGATGACAGTGGCCCGGGTGGCAGTCGGGGTAAAGGCTGGTGACGTGCCGGCCTACCACCTGTCATGTAGAGTAAAGTAGACATACGGAGGGGAGGCGACGATGGGCCCACAGGACCGGCCTATAGCCCCCCTCACAGTAGTGCAAGTGGTATTTCAATGAAGGACCACCTTTAGCGACAAAAGAAGAAAGCAGGGACACATTTTGATACATCATGGACATGGACCAATGAGCCATTATCAGACAAGTCCCGAAAATCCACATAATGAAGATCGAAGAAAGATCAGAGCAATCGATTGAAAAAAAAACGAGCTTTTATCGCCCAAGTGGCACATCATTCACAGCTAAATCGGCTGGATCGAGGCTGCGATCGCCCTTCACCGGGTTGTGTGTCTCAAGATGAAGTAATGGTGCAGCAATGGGAGAGAAAAATGCCAAACGCCAAAACACGATGGCAGAAAACACACAGATGCACGAAAGTCATAGGTATGCAGTTTTCGGCGCTGGGCCATACGGACGGCAGTTACTCTCAGTCCCCACGTGGTGGTGGTCATAGCGGGCGCCAAT